TTCATAGTCAGCCCCTCCTCTGGGTTATTTAGCCAATATCCACCAAAGCTCCAAGTACAGACGTTTGCCCTCTCTGCTAATGTCCGGCCTTGCTACACTGAGTCATGAGGTTACGTGACCAGTAGACACTCTTGTTGTCTTGTATGACTCCATGGATAAACCCCACTGTGATGACAGCATGTGTTAACTCATAACATCATTATATTCAATGGTAACATTTCAGCTGCATGTCTTGCTAATATTGTGCAGTTCCAAGATGCAAAACTATGCTACTTGCTGGGAAAYTATATCCCCACACAGACGTTAAAAGTCTGGGTGGGGATTGCAGAAATCTAACATATAAAAGACATAAAAAGAGCAGATCCTACAGAAACACACACAGCTGGAACATCCTCAGACTGGCCCCACTAATTCACTGAAATCATAGATGCCACACTGTGTGTTGGAGACAGTGAACATCTTGGATTTACAGAAGGTGTGTGAGGAAAGCGTGAATAAAACCGAAAGCCCAAACAAAGGTGCATATTTATAAAAGTATAAAAAAAGGAAAGAGGAGTAAAAAATATGAAAAACAGGGAAAAAACTACGAAGGTATAAAAAGAAAGAAATAAAAGAACGTAGGATATTAGTCACAAAAACAACAGTTGTAGAAGGTCGACCCAGGTTTCTAAAGACGAGGAAAAACAGATACTGAACTTGAAATAATTAGTGTCACCTTATGAAATTCTAAGTCCCAACATTACGACACACCTAATTTTCAGGTTCCTGACGTTTTAAGAAACATTTCGATCATCCTGAATCATGAATGATCCAGAGATGTGGCTAGAGTTGTCTTGCCACTCAGGAAGACCCCAGAAAATGTACAGAAATTTTTAATTTAAGTTTTCTCAAAATCATAGTATTTGTTGATCAGAAAAGGTTTTAAGATTGTCTTTTGAACATTTCCTTCCAGGGACACATAGATTAGATATTTACTCATTATATTTTTGACAGACATCAGCATGAAGCTGCAGTCTAACACCAAAAGAACTGAATACAAATTTGAGACAACTTGAATCAAAGTTTGAGAGTGGCTCTCAGGTCCTGCAGAGACCTGATAAGAAGCCAATGAAACACTAAATCTCTGCAGTCCACTTAGGTTTAAACAGGTGTTGAAATATTCTGTTTGCCTTTGGAGCCATCTTGTCTTGTGTCTTTCTGTCTAACGTTTTTAAGTCATTTTAACAATTGCTGTGAATCTACTTTCTCCCTGAAGGACAATAAGGTCTGACTGGTTATTTTCTGCCTTTAGCTTTATGTCCCAGTTCAGCTTATGACAGTTATTTTAGCTTTTTATTTTGCTTATAAAATACTATATTTGATAAAGTTTTTTTATTTAGATTACAAGTACAATCTGTTTTCTACTCAAACACATTCTGACATCCATGGCCATGAAAAAAATTCTGGGTAAGACTATAAAGTTTCACTTTCTCAAGAATTACATGTAAAGCGTGTTGCTGTTAACATTAAAAATCTACAATAAGAACTGCTGAGTGAACATTTATTTAACTGAATATTTCCTTTAGTACAAAAACACAATTTCTGATATTGGTATTAATTTGCTAAATCCTTAAGCTGTGACATCCCCAGTGAACAGAAAAGACAAAAAAAAACATAAAAGAAGAGTTAAAGTATGTCAAAGAAACAAAAACATCAAAATTTAGGTTTAATAAATGAAAAAAAAGGAAAAACACAGGTAAATTCAACATGGAAAGGAGAAAAAAGAAGAGTGTAAGACAGAAAGAGAAAGAAAGTCTCACCAAGGAAACAATGTCCAGAAGAAAATCAACCAACCCACAGAACTCCACCAGAGAGAGCTCAGAGTCTGACGTCCCGACAAGTCGCGCTGCATGTGCACTGTTTTTCACCCTCCTCCTGAAACAAACCATAAACTCATGAGTTTACAGACAAAAGTAATTCTACCAGCTGAGCAGTGATTTGACTCAACCATCATGATGGCAGGGTAGAGACTTTTATATTTTACATGTAAATAAATAAAGTCTTTATTCTTGTAAAGCACAGACCTGCAGCACTCCTCAAACCAGCGAGCGATGTAGTCCCACATGTAGTACGGTTCAAAAGAGTTGAACAGGAGATTTGCTGTTTTTATCAGTTCTGCTGTCTTCTTATTTTCTCGCAGTTTACTAGGAAAGAAAAAAATTTCTTCAGCACATTTGATTGCTAAAATTTGTTTTAAGCATAAAAAGTGGCAGAAGAATTCCATCAAGAGTAAAGAATAAGAAATACATCCTGTTTTTTGTTAATCATTTTATGGTTTCTTATAATACTGACTTATGTATTCCAGCACTAAAGTACATTAAAGAGGCAATATTATGTTTCTCATGAATATATTTAAATTCTGTACTAGGCATGGGCCGAATACCGGTTTCAAGGTATACCRTGATATGAAAAAGTCAGTTTCAAAACCACTAAAATTTTCTGTCATACCATGCCTACGGTATATGCATTTTTTAGTTTTTTTTCCTCTGGTCTGTGCCGATGCAGACGACCCCTCTCCCGCACACTCCCGCAGCAGACTGCCAGTCGGCACTCGCAGCTCTGCGGGGGTTACTGTGGAGGCTGAAGAACAGAGTTCCCCAAACTTTTTCCCTGTCTAAAAGATTAAAGCCATCTATATGAAAATACTTATGATGCTGTAAAGACGACAGCAATGTGGACCGTGGAGGCAACACGTCTAACATGATCGTAGCTCCAGGTAAAGTTATGTATCTTGAAATGAACAAGCTAACGTTAGCATCAGATTGTGAAACATCACCGTGTTGCTGTGGTTTAATGTGCTGATCACAACTTGTCTGCAAAACTGTTTGAGTTGTTGGATTGTGTATTTGATAAGTTTTAAGTGAAAGTCTATAAAACTGAATGCCTCCTTTAGCCGAGCAGCTCGTTAGCTGAACGTGCGTTTTATAAACACGCATTCATAGTTGTGATTTCTTGTTTCTGTGTGCAAATAATTATATAATCTTTATGTCAAAAACCCTTTGTCATTTAAAACACAATAAAAACTTCCAACGTGATACATTACTTCAATAAAAAGACTTGTCGTACAGTATACACTGATTTGTCTTAAATAATAAAACAATAGAAAAGATGTAAACTTTATCAGGATAACCTAATTGCATTAGGTGCTAAAAATCACAAGTACAGATGCACACAGGTAAATAAAATTTCAGCATAACACCTCTGAGATCTAAAAACAGCTTCCAAAGATAATTAAATTGTCATCATCAACCTTTATTTATAAAGCGCTATAACATCAGCCACAGCTAAAACAAAGTGCTGAACACAAAAATAAAAACTCAATACAAAAACACAATAAAATCACACAGTTAAATAAGTAAAATCAGCACCAATACAGTAAAAGTTGAGTAAAATCAAATCTCAGTTGGGTTAAAGGCCAGTGAGAAAAAAAATAAGTTTTTAAACGAGTTTTAAAAATGGACAGTGAAGGGGCCTGTCGAACATGCAAGGGCAAGGCGTTCCACAGTTTAGGGGCACTAACAGAGAAGGCCCTATCTCCTCTGAGCTTCCATTTAGAACTGGGAATGACCAGGAGCAGCTGGTCAGCAGACCTGAGTGACCGAGGAGGAGCGTAATGGTGAAGWAGCTCTGTTAAATTAGATGGGGCGAGGTTGTTTAAAGCCTTAAAAACAAACAGAAGGATTTTAAAATGAACTCTAAAACACACAGGCAGCCAGTGGAATTAAAGTTGAATATCATAATAGAAAAGTTATTTTCGTTTGTTGTTTGTTTTTAAATGCATATTTCAAAACTAAATTTTTAGAGCTGTAATCATAATACCATCATACCGTGAAACCGTGATATTTTTGCCCAAGGTTATCATACAGTCATAATTTCATACCGTCCCATGCCTATTCTGTACCATAATAAAAGTAACTATGTCACCTTATGCGTTTATATGTTTAAATAGAAAATAAACTTGAATTCTCATCATATCTGTGTGTCTTCTTGAATGGGTGTTTCAAATGTAATTTCATTGTGCTGTACAATGGCAATAAAGAAATCATCAATCAATATCTGTTTCTAAACGCCTTGAAATTGGCCTGTGTCTCTTCAAGAACCTCTGTCTGCTTCTGGACYGTTTGTCTTCCTGGCGTAATTTTCACTGGCGCTTCAGGATGCTAGGCAGCTGCTACTAACATAACTCAACAGTGATTATAACTTTTTCGTTTGTCTTTTAATAGTATTTGTGTATTATTTATTTATACACATTTAGTTAGTAGTACTCGTAGTACTTTTCAGTGCTTATAAGAGGACATGTCAAAATGCTGTTCCTATGCAGGAAATACCAGGTAGAGCTCAGTTTTGTTTGTTAGCGGTGCTCAGCTGTAGTAATGAGACGAGGACCATAAAGTTAAATATGAATTCTCGAAGTTGATTACAACTGGCTCTTTGAGGTACCTGAAAATACTGCAGAAATCTGTCAGTTTAGTAAATAAACACAGAGAATTTTTTAGTTATTTTGAGTCCAGTACAAGATGCTGTGCTATTATTTTTATGACATCACAAAGTTATATAAAAGGTAAAACATTATGCTTCAGCCTCTAGGAGTTGTATCTCTGTAATCACATTTTGATGAGTGAACATTCACATTATGAGAGCTGTTGCGATTAGAAACTAATTAATGGACTTTGTCATTTAAAATGAGCAATAAAAACACGATTGGTAAAATGTCAAACATGAACAACAAAATCAACAGAACTGATGCAAAAACACTCATTTATTTTACAAGAGACCCAACCAGCTTTCTGCAAAAACATCTTTTAATTATCAATGGTAAAAAGAAAAAAAAACTAAAGTACACAGTATTCTTATGATGACATAGAAAGAACTCACTGATGTGAATGATGCATCATAGACTCACCTGCTTAAATGTGCGTGATCTTTGCTGAATGGACTCTGGTTCTGGAGGTCTAACTCTGTTCTGCATTGTGTGTGAAGTGTCCGATAAACCTCAATCAGAACATCCTCTAGAATGGCCGGACCTGTAGAGAGCCAGGCAGAGTAAAGTTTTAATGTAAACATTTACATGTTGCATCGACATATAAACCAGCACGTTACCGAGCTCTGGTTTGTCCAGCAGGCTGATCAGGATGCGAAAGGGCTTGAGGTCATGCATGAGGACGCTCTCCTCCTCTCCACCGCGGGCCTTACCCTGGAGGATTCCAACCATTGCCTAAAAACACAACATGACACATTTATTCAACCGCACCGCTAATATGGCAGTGATCACAAAATGTAMGACTTCACTTGTAACAGTGAAGAGAAAATCTGCTCGTTTAAAAAGAAATTAGGCAAAAAAACAATTCATGTTTCTACTGATGTGCCTTGGATTTTTTGTGTATGTTTCACGCTTCGTCTGCATCCTGACTGACTGAGCATAAAACAGGCGGTCCCTGTAGGATCTTCATTCTCAAAGCCAGCTATCCTCTGGAGTACAGGTGTGTATCAAGCACGAGCATGGCTAGTTTGTGTGGATTTTTTTAGCAACATCAAGTATTTCACAAGAACTGAGAGAGGTCTTCAATGATCCGACTGCTGTGAACAGAAGCAGGACTAACAGAAAATATAAACCCCAGACAKGAGGAATACAAGGTGAAAGATTAAAGCAGTGCAAAGTGTTTAACACAGAGAAGCAGTAAAAATCTGCCCTTTACCCCTCAAAGATACGTGTCGGCTCTCAGGAGGCATCATTTGGGGGTTATTTTGGAAGCCATAGCTGACCTGGTTGTGCGTTTAGCATAAAAACTCACCTGGACCAACATGTCCTTAGAGAAGCTGTTGAAGTAGTGGGAGGCCTGCTCCTCTGGGTTGCTCTGTCTAGTGCTGCGGGGGCCTAGTCTCCCCACATTGTTGTCAAAACCTTTAAAGAACAAAAACATACAATTAGTAGAGTGGAGACTTTAGGTTTATCTTATTTAAAGGTTTTAACAGGTGAGTTGTTCAGAGGAACTGTCTTCCTGTTCTTTGTCTATCTGTGTAATATCACTAAAGCAAGAAACATCTTGTCAAAAAACGATGCAGAAAAACTGATTCATGCATTTCTCACGTCTAGGCTGGACTACAGTAATTCTTTATCTGGGCATCCAAAAAACTCTTTAAGAAGTCTTCAGTTAATCCAAAATGCTGCTGCTAGAGTTTTAATGAGAGCTGGAAGGAGAGATCATATTTCTCCAGTTTTACCTTCTCTCCACTGGCTCCCTGTCAAATTCAGAATAGATTTTAAAATATTACTCCTAACATACAAAGCTCTTAACAACCAAGCTCCACCATATATTAAACATCTTATTGTTCCATACTTTCCTAACAGAGCACTTTGTTCTCAGACTGCAGGTTTACTTGTGGTTCCCTGAGTTTCTAACATTAGAATGGGAGGCAGAGCTTTCAGTTATCAAGCTCCTCTCTTGTTGAACAACTTCCAGTTTCTGTCTGTGAAGCTGACTCTCTGTTTTTGCTTTAACCGGCAGCTTGAGCAGTTCCATCATGAGCTTGGGCTCAACTTGTGCTTATGTCGGCTGCCACAACAATTCAAGAAAACTGAGAAACATTTTGCCTGGAACAAAAACCAGTAGGAAAGACATGTCCATGCTCAGCGCCCTACACACTGCACTTTATGCCGACGAAGGAGGATCGTAAACTATCGTGGCTGGCAGCTTTAAATCTCAAAAACTAACCAAAGAGTGTTTGTTTGCTCTTTTCATTTTATCGACAAAAAGCCCACGTATATTCACTCCGATCCAGAGCTCTATCTGGGCTAAGACTGGTTTGTCAAAAAAATGCATCATGATGAGGTAAGGTAACATTTATTTATACAGAACTTTTCAGCAGCAAGGCGATACAAAGTGCATGAAAAAGTATGACTTACAGTCCGGAAAATGCGGTAAATGGAATTACAAACATGCTGAATTTGACTAGATTAGTTTCTACCGATTTCTGCTCTTTCAAAAGTTGAAGTCATTTTGATCAAAGTGTGAAGCTGGATTCCTGCAGCGTCTGTCTTTAAATCATGCTCTTACTCACCAGTGTGTTTGTCCACAGAAAGCAACAGAGAGAAATTAAAAGTTAAGACTGTGAACAAATCAGTTACAAGCTGATTTCTTTGTTTTTCAAAAATAGTATACAACAATACACACATACTGAGAGATTATACAATCACAGACCAGAACTAACTAAAGAACAGTGTGATGTCTGGATTAGTTGCCACTTTCATGATTATTTTTGAAACCCAAAAACCTTTTTGTACAACCCTAATTTAAAGTTGGAATGTTGTGTAAAATGTAAAATTAAAACACGTCATGATTTACACATTTTATATGCTTAGGCAGTATGAAGGTATTTTAGTGTAACATGGTATTGAAGTATGGTGATGGTATAAAAATAAAAATAAAAACTATGACAGTGTTAGTCACAAGGTGATGCGCCAAATATCTCGGCAATCTCCGCAAGGCAGCTAAAAAATCTGGGACATAAACATTCTAGGTTATTTTAGAAGACGCCCCACAATGTTACTGAAGCCGGTTCTGACAGAGGAGGGGGAGCAGAGACACCCCCATTTGTCGTTCCTCTTGGCGGGGTAAAAAAGAAAAAATAAATAAAGAAGCCATATGTGAACACCATCCACAATAACATCATTTTATCAGCTTGATTGGGGTTGTAGGACATTTTTGAGAATTTCCATTTAATTTACAAATGACAGKTTAAGAAGGATGTCTGACACCTCAGAGAGGGAATCTTGTGAATATTTCTCACCCAGCAGCCAGGCGTAGAGTCTGCGGTTCAGGGACATGTCTCTTCTTAAAACCACATGCAAAGCTGCAGACAGGATCCGGATCATATCAGGGCGAGTGGCCTGACCAGAACACACAACAGACAGGATGAGTTAAATTAAGCTTTTTCTCAAAACTATATCACATCAATTTAATGATGATACGTTTCTCAATATCACAAATTCTGTCATGATACAATTTTGATTCAGTTCCATTCACAAGTCTGCAAATGATGTGATATCATATATCTATTTAACATAATAATTTAATGACTGCGTTAAAGAGACATATGACAACAATCCAGATCAAGCAGATGACAATAATATAGATCAATGTTTTCATTTTGCCTTGATGTAATTGAATCATTAATCATTTAATCAATATATTGATGTGGATCGATGTATTATTACACCCCTACTACCCATAACCTAAAAATGATGTTCTACTGTCTCCAAAAGGTCTACTGGTCCTAACAAGGTAGGTGTCAGTGCCAGAAAAGTTCCTAAAAAAGGAACCAAACTAGGTACACATACACACAGATCAGGTGTCTCCCAGCTCTTTTAGTTTCAGAAATGTTTTGATGTAAGGGATATAACAAAAGTAAAACTGGATCTTCAAGACAGCTGAATACGAATCTATCTCCATTACGCCTCATGCCGCTTCAAGTCAACTGAAATGACTTGAAGACAGAATGAAAAGACAGAATAATTTGATGCAACATTACAGCAAGGTTAATTTTACTTGAGCCGTTTTCACACAAGCAGGTGTGAAGCTAAAGATTTCTACACTAGAAGTGTTCTGCAGATATGGCATGTGAGAACACAAAYCTTTGGAACATTTAAGTTAAGATTCTTCTCATTTATTTTCTTTTGCTTTTTCTTTGACATCAGCGCCCTATTAAAACAAGCAGAACTGCCAAGTTTTTTGTCAGAACGTCAGAAAGTGTTCTAACAGAATGTGTGTACATCAAGAGCTAAAACAGCTTTAATTTGAGGTTTCGTTTTTGATACTGATAAAAACAATCATTTGTCAAAGAGCCACAGAGGTCGAGCACGCTCTCTGATGCAGTTCTCCTTACCTGGCTCATGTGGAAGGGAAAGCAGAAGAGGATCAGGTCTAAAGTGCTCCTCTGCACCAAAACACTGGAGTCCTGGACCGAAGTACTAACTGCCTCCACCTGGTTAGAAGATAAACTGGTTTAGTCTGTGTGCACAAAGCACAACACTGGCAGCTTATTTAAAAGCAAAAAATATAACCACTGCCGGCAGTCAATCTGACTGGACCACATAGTTGACAAGAACCATATGTGATCCACTTTTACCACCATTCCTTTTGAAAATGTGCTGAGATTATTCTAACGATCAGTTATTTTAATAAAGACCCCCGAGTGTAACTTTTATTTTGTGTATTTATACATTTCTCGTACTCTGGTTCTGTTATTTAACACATACTGAAGTTAAAGTAACAAAATCTTCTAGAAAGCAAGACAGCAGCGTCCTTCGTTTGTCTGCTCTGACATTAAAAATGTCAGGAGTTCATCTAATTGAAGAACATGTGATTCTGTCGTAAAGTATTTTCAGCTGACATATTTTTAGATACATCCCGTCGCGTACCATGAGCTCGATGTCACTGCCCATGATGAAGAGTTGGTCCTCCATGGAGAGCTTCCTGTTGAGGTGCAGCAGAACGAAGGACACCCCTGGGAGACGCACCGCAGGGCTGGTCAGGATGCTGCCCCATAAGGCACTGTAGAAGGCCGACTGCTCCACAGCTGCTGCTACTTTCTCCAACAAAGTGTTGGTTCTGTGTGAAACAAACAGTATGTAGTCAGAGGTTTTACTAAATATGGTCAACTGCACTAATAATAAAAACAAAGCAGTTGACAGAGGTGGAAACTCTACAAAGAATCTTATTCACTTTGTCAAATTAAACCTGGGATGGGGCCAATCCGATTCAGTACCGATATTGGGCTCCAATACCAACATAAATATTGGATCTGAATTTTCTGATCCAACGTGGGGAGATTTCCGATCCATGAGCAGCGTCTGTGCTATTATGTTGTCTCTTGAAATGACTCCAGAAGAGATTCCAGGCCGGCGGCTCTGCTAGCTGGCAGCAAACTGTGAAAAGGATTTCCTGAACGGAGGCGAGTCTCATGAGACATGGAGTAATGAGACACCTCTCACAGTTTGCAGCCTGCTGGCAGGCAAGCAGCTGTGGCGAAATCAACTTTTCTTCGCCACATGAACTCAAACTGTACACCAGTTTATAAATTGTGTTGATAGGTTAAGTAAAACCAGAGTTCTAATAAAGAATATCCAACACGTTTCTTTTCTTATCATTATTTTAAAACGTGTTGTTGCTGTAGCATGAGCAGAGAGTGAGGTTAAAGGAAACAGAAGCAGATCCACAGTAAAAAAAAAAAAGGGGTAATTGTCCTCCAGTCATAAAATAGGTAGATGGGTGTTTGTTTGGCTTGTGAAACTGAGACATTAAGTTATTTGTAAAGCGCCAAAAATTCTGCAGCAGGGAGAAGAAAAAGACGCAAAAGTTGAATGAAGTTTGGCAGCGATGGAGAGCGGGAGATTCATAACTTTACCTAATGGAAGCATATATAAAGTAAAGTGGATTGATCCAAGCACTGAACCCTGAGGAACTCCATGACTAACTCTGGTGTAAGAAGAAGATTTATTAACATATACAAACTGGAATCTGTTAAATAAATACAACTTAAACCATTTTAGAGCATTTGTTTTAACAAAAACCTACTAAAACTAACTAAACAAATAAAAGACAAATTAAACAACATCTAAGTAATCTAATCTAAACAAATCTTAACAGGTTTAATGACAGAAATTTCATAGATCTCATTAAAAAAGTTGGTTTTGCATGATACCACTCTCACCCTAGCCTGGCCCTTGCCTTCCTACGCAGTTCCGCCCAATTCTAGTTTCCCTTCACTGCTCCGTCTGGGATTTCTCCCACAGAGAAGGATTTCTTCAGGAGAATTTTCGWCCGGGCCAATCAGAGAACAGAAGGTGGAGTTTTGAACAACGTTGATTTTCTGCGCAGTGTCTGCTTGTTAGTTTAGCATACGGCAGTGGAGGAAGTGAATGAAGCCAGTCCRTGTTGATAAGGCTTCCAAATTAAATTAAATTAAACTTGTCTGACAAAGCAGCAGCTCTCATTTACAGTTGTCTCGTTTGGCTCGGTACTTCTCTCCTCTCAGTAGGGTTGTTTACAGCACACACGCAATTTCCGGTTAGCTTCTTAGCTTAGACTCCTYCAAGTGGAGCTGGCGTACACATGTTGCAGCCAACCGAACCAATCATTTTAAACATCAGCAGAGGACACACCTCCAGCAAGAATCGCTTCTCTATAGCTGAGAGTCCAGACCCTATTTCGAAGCCTAGTGAAGGACAAGGAGTTGGTTTTAACCAGGCTACTCTCACCCCACTTCCCCCTTAAAAATCAACATCTTCATAAAAGTTTTTCTACAAAATGACAGTCCACGTGTGTCTCACGTGTATCATCATACTAATTTTAATTTCCGTTCCATTATTGCTCTCCTTACCTGTCGTAATATTCCGAACCCTCCTCCAGACCAGGCAGAACCCCAGTCAGTAAACCCTGTAGGCCTGGTTTTAGGGTCTTTCCCAGGGGCAGGTAGTAGGTCTCATAGAGCCCCAGGAGCACTGGCTTCACTGACATAGCAGCATTGGAGAGTAAAGGGAAAAGCCCAGAGCTGCAGTGATAATAAACAAAAACAACAATACGACTGATATTAAGATCTGAAAAAGTGGGACTAGCCTTCAGTGCTGGTTCTGACCACGAAGTATTACCTATACAGGAAGAGGTCTTTAGCCAGCCTTTTGGGTCCAATGATCTTAAAGATGATCTCATAGGTCTCCAAGGCCTTCCGGTGCACCCCGCTGGGCAGCGCAGGGTGGAGGCACTGGGCCAGTCGTTTGCCTATCGTCAACTTCTTGGGAACAACTTGATACTTCGCGTTGTTTTGCAGAACCTGACAGAACCAAACATTTGATAAATGCAGTTCTTATGATAAGTGTAGGCGAGTGTGGCTCTTCAGGTTCTTACCTTGTTGAGTTTCCCAAGTGCAGAGATGAGATCTGCCCACTCACTGGAGTACTCAAAGTTTTTGAGGGCTTTGTCCACAGCTGCCACATAGTTCCTGTACTTTGAGTCACCAAGCAGCTCCACTTCCTCTGCGTTCATTCTCCTGGCTGGTTTTTACCCTAATGTGCAACACCAGCTGTACACAAGAACATCCCTCCTGCAAGCAAAGAAAAGGTGTACAATGTAAGAAAGAAAATCAATAACATTTTTGATACCAGGGTCTAGCCCAGCAAAACTATCGAAAACAGATTTCTCCCTAAGTTTAATTAATTTCAGCTTAAATGTTGCATCTGTGCCCAGTTTTTTAAAAAGTCCTTAAATCAAATATATCATCAAACCATATTTTGAGGCCGATATTAAAACTTCAGAATTTAAATTTGATATAAATGTAAAAAAAATTATAATTTAGCATTTTTGTTTTTTTCCCCCATATATTTTTGATCAGATGTTTCTGTGTGGGTACAGGTTTCTGATATTGAATGCTTAACTTGCTTGCGCCATCTGGTGGACAAAGCATGAAACAGCATCACTGGTTTTTGTTTTAAGATCAAATTTCCTGTATTACTAAATTATTTATTGATAAATACAGGAATGATGATTCCAATAATTTCAATATATATTCTGGAAATCTCACTTTACCAGAC